CAGGTGGATTCTCTGCTTTTTTCAGGGTTTTAAATGATTTTTTAAAGTCAGACGGGGGATCGCTGCTGCAATAAGATGTGTTAATAAATACCATTACATTCTGTTACAGTTTCCACTTTCACTCAGGTCATCGTCCTGCAACAAGAAGAACTTTGTCTGCCTGAAGCTGAGGGCTAATTGTTTCTCTGCATGAGAGAATCTGGTCTTAAATGTTTCATTAGGAGAGGCCAACATGTATCAAATTACTCCTCTAAATGAACAGTGGCATTATTTATCTCCACACACAACTTTTCCTTTATTTCCCTGTTTGGATAGAGGTAGTTTGAATATTTTTCTGCTACATTATTGCATTAAATGAAATTAAAAATAATGACCTGAAGACAGAAAAATAACCATTGGTGATATGTTAGAAGCCTGGGTGGATTCTTTATCCTTTTTTTTTTGGAGATTATTTGCAAAACTTTAGAGGATTAAAAAAAATATTAAAATACTATGAAGACTTCTGTGTAGCTGCCAGCTCAGATTTATTTTACTAAAATCTAAAGATTTTTAAACAGAAATCTGTAATTCCTGCAATATGATAGTTTTTATCGTGTATTGTATGTTTATTGCACGTTGTTTGTTTTTATTTGTATGCAAATTACATATAATATTCAAAAAATGTGAGATTTTCCAAAGGATTTTGTTTCTCAGTTATTATTATGCAAATAGTAAACTTTTCTTGAAAGAGGAGTGCTTGTTCATGAAAAAATACGTATATATATTCTGCCAAATATTTAGTTTTTTAGACAGATAAAAAGAGGATTTGTAATATTTAATCACATTTTGCTTCAAAACATCTTCTTTTGAGGTGCTAAAATCTTCCGTATCTGCAGTTATTTTCTCCTTTTTACACAAAAAAACTTTCTAAATTTGGCGTTTGTTACTACTAATCTGAAGGCATTTTAAAAACGATAATGCATTGGTTTAATCTAATGCAACTTTTTCTTTTTGACGTGTAGCCTATTCCTCTAAATGAATTAACTAAACAATAAAGCTTTTTACAGCCTCTGAATCAACATTAGATTCAATCGGTAACAACTTAGTCCTGAGCTCTTATTTGGTGTAATTTCCCAAATTATGTGGGATTATAAAACCTAAAGACATAAAAACAACAAATACAGAGAATATGAGCTTATTATTTAGAATTGTTTTAAATAATCTAAACTTCACATCAGGAAAATAACACTTAAAAAGCATCAAAACATATTTTTTGGGGGGTATATTTTAAACAGTCCGGTCTTCTTCACGTGCATCTTTTTGTCTTCCTGACGGGAATCTCTGCTGATATGAAACAAGGACAAAGCCTCTTTTGTCAGAGCGTTACCCACTCCGTGAGAAAGCAGACATGTTCCCTCAAAAGGGTATCGATGTCCTGAGATATCACTGAATCCGTTCCTCCTTCTGTGGGAAACCGTCTGTTTGCTGCAGGAACCTCACGTCTACTCACCACGTTTAGATTTTATACAGTAACCACAGAGAGAAARACAAACTAACTCAGGTTAATCTGTTTTTATAGTTCCAAGTGCTTTGTGTCMGCACTGTCAGCAAAATAGCTTATGAACCAGTTTTAATGAACCTCATTCAAAATGGCTACCTGAGCAACTTTAAAAAAGTTATAGTCTGGAGCCTCTCAAGAACTTTGAAATAATTTCTAAAGCCCACTGGGAGCCAGTGTAGTGAATATAAAAGCGGAGTGATATGACTGTATTTGTTGGATTTAGTGAGAAGTCTGGCTGCTGTGTTCTGTAAGGCTTGCAGACGTGAGACTGAAGACTTGTCCAGGCAGGGAAAAAGAGCATTAAAGTAGTAATTATTCACAAAAGCAAGAATAATTTTTTCTAATTTTCTCAACTCTGAAGATCATATGTCATATTGTACACATGTTTCTTAAATTAAAAAAGTAAAAATGAGAAATAGTCCTAATGTGTGACTCAAAGCCTYATGATGAGTCAAATGTGACTCCTACATTTTTTAACTTTGATTTGGCTACCAGGTAAAAAGAGGCGATTGTCTGACTGATTTTAGGATGAATGTAATCAAAGTCTCAGTCTTACTAGTGTTTAAAACCAAAATGTTACTGGAGAGTCAGAGACTGACATGAGACAAACACTGGACAAGGACTGTCCAACTGGTGTGGATTAAAGGACAAATACAATTGGATGTCATCAGCATAAATATGATACGAAATATCTGAAAATGACCGGATAATGCAGACAAGTGGGGTAATATAAAAGGAAAACAAAAGCGGGCCCAGAACTGAGCCTTGTGGAACCCCTAAATTTATAGTGCGTCTTGACCCAGAATGTCCTATGAGAGATATGAAGTGATCTCACAAGACTAACTATTTCTGTTAGCAAAATATTTTATGAACCACTGGAAGGACTTCGTTGAAACTTTCAGACAGTAATCACCAGAAGGATCTTCATCTAATTTTATAGAATTTATAAAACGTGTGAAAAATGTTTACTTTATCGATGAAACTCGCGAAGCGGTTGTTGAGGCTCTTTATCTGCTCCTTCTCGTGGGCCCGACTCATGGACAGGTTGGGGTCGATCTCCAGGTTCAGGGGYGCAAGCAGGCTCTTGTTGACRGACAGGGACGTCAGRGAGGCCCCCAGACCCTGATGGTGGCCGTTGGCGCCGGCGTACAGGGAACTGCTGCTCAGGGAGACCCCGCTGAAGCCCCCCGGCCCCGGACTGAAACCGCTCACCCTCCTGGAGCCGCCGCTGCTCCGGACAGAYCTGCTGGAGCTGATCCTCTTGGTTCGACTCAGACTCATGGTGCAGAGGGAGACGATGGGGGGTTGATGAGGAGAAAAAAGATGTGGAAAATGGATAAAAATGAAGAAAATGCAGAGCTGAGGGAGAGAGGAGCAACAGGCACAGGATGTCCTGCTTCAGTGAAGCATCTCAGGTGTCTTCTGACCCTTTAAAGCTCCTCCAGGGGGGAGAAACCAGAGGAGGGGAGAAAGTGGAGCAGCTCAATATCACATATCTAAAGTTTCTGATTTTTAGGCTCAATGTAAAACAGATACTGCTCTGTTTAAAGCTATCAATGACAGTTAAAAGTTTTATTTTCCTCACTATTTATAGTATAAAAAAACAACAACATTTCTACTTATTTATATTGAAAAGATCAGGATTAAAACTCAGACCTCCAGGAGACAAAAACCTGATTCTTATTCCTTATCTCCTTCAGGCAGGTAAATCAGATCTGTCTGAACAACCTGKGCTCATGCAGGTATTTGTGTCGTTTATATTTATTACTGATTTCTATTTAGAAACCCAACGACCTCAGATTATGTTGCAAATGAGCACAATGGCTCCATGCAACTTTTCAACAAAGAAATTAACTGGATCTGAACTGCAAAAATTAACATTTTATTGTATGAAAGTTACTCTGGTACCCAACCTGCTTTGTAAAAATTCAGCTTTGTGCTGTTAATTTGATAGCGCTGAGGTCGATGTATCAATAAAGAATAGTTACCGTAAAAGTACGGTATGGTCTAATCTTCAGCTCCACCTCCACAGGATAATGGTCACTGATCCTTAGAGCCTTGGACAACAAAGACAAACAGATAATTAATGAATCTAAGCTCTGGTCTTATATTTTGACCATATTTAATTGTCACACAAAGCTGAAAGCTAAGTTAAAAGATTCTGAATGCTAAACACATGTTTAAGCTAACCACTAAAGCTAATTTAAAGAAAGGCTCTAATTCATCCAAGACTTTCAGAGCTAAAAACTGGTACCAAAGAACAAGCTTTGACAAATTCGGAAGGCCAAATAAAAATTCAAGATGGCCACCAGAGCTAATTTGAAACTGCACTAACTCTGCCATTTTAAAACCTTTTTAGCTATTGTTGTGGGGTTAGAAAGATCTTCATCACACACGGAAGCCAAKTCAAAAATCCAAGATGGCCACTATAYCTATAATGCAAACTTGWCCATAACGCAGCCATTTTAGACATATTTAGTTCAAATTTGGGATGGTAATAGATCACAGTGACCTCCAACAAACAGTAAATTCAAATCTTTATTTAAATCGGACTGCACGAGGCAAGAACTTTCAGTTTCTRCAGGAACTATTCTAGTTTATGCAATGAATTTCCTAAACACTGAGCATCACAAAGACCTTTCCCTGCAGGAGGAAATTTATCTTATCCTGCTGTGGAAAAGAGGAAATATTGAAGCAGCAAATAAAAACAGGAACTGACACAGCTAAAAAATCCATCTGGACTTCAAATGCATCAGATGTTTTATGTAGTCTTTAGTCTGCTGTTTATCAAGAAAGTTTTTAACAATTTCAGTGGATATAACAGAAAAAAGGCTAAAATTTAAATGTTTCTATACTTTTTTTTAGGATAAACACTATATTTGCTATAATTGCTAAATACACTCTAAAATGAAACAAATGTGAAATTATTCCTGTTTATAAAATAAATAAACTGAATATACAGAGAGAAACCGATGGGAACTTTAACTTTCCGTACAAAAAATGCATAAAACACACAAACTGTTTAATACATGATGTTACTT